CGAGGGGGCCAAAAATTTTACTAAAATTATTCAAAATGCGGTATGGAGTAGTTCGAAAATTAAAGCTATTAGAAGGGTTGACATTAACTATCCTCCACATATACTAGCAAAAGTAAGGCAAACGCATGATCCTACTGATAAGGCTGGAGATAACCATGAATCGCAGCAACTAAGGCGTTGTATTAGAAAATACAAGGAGAATTCGGTTGCCAATTATGTTCAAAATTTGACGGCGTGTGAGAAAACCAATTACTCACTGTGGAGGGCAACAAAGGAAATGAAGCAACCTATCAAACATCTTGCTCCTATTAAACAAAAAGATGGAACGTGGGCAAAAACTGACAAAGACGAGTCAAATACGTTTGCGGGTCATTTGGCTAATATATTCTGTCCGCATGACAGCCAAGGCTTGCACGAAAATGAGGAATCTGCTTTTGTTGGGAATAGGGTGACTATTCCAACTGTCAGGAAAAGAGATGTTATAGAGGAAATCAGGACTCTTAAATCTGAAAAAGCTCCAAGCTTTGACCTAAAACGGGCGATATTTTGAAAAAGTTGCCCAAAAGGGGTGTAACGATGATTACGCGCCTAATAAATGCGTGTATAAGTTTTAATTACGTGCCTGATCTTTGGAAAGCTGCAGTGATAATTATGCTGCATAAACCTGGCAAACCTATAAACGAGGCGCCTTCTTATAGACCAATCTCATTGTTGCCGATAATTTCAAAACTTTTATTGAGAAGGCTTGAGCCAACAATTGAAAGTAAAAAGTTAGTCCCGAATCATCATTTTGTTTTTCGAAGAAATTACTCAACCTTGGATCAGATTCATCGAATAACTGACCTAATAGAAAATTTTCTGTAGATTCACAAAATAAATCTACACAACAATTACAAGAGGCCAGTGATGAGATCTCTAAATGAACTAGAACATGGAATATAAAATTAAATGGGCACAAATAAGTAAACGTCAATTTCACTAATACGAAAATTGACATTCGTATCCGGTTCGGATAAATTATTCGGATAAATGTTCGCGTCTTAATTCCGTTCGCAAACCCGGCGAAGTATTTGGGTATGACATTGAACGCAAAGCTCAGATGGAGGGAGTACATAAAGAAAAAGAGAGCTCAACTCGTAGAAGAACACAGGAAGTTTAAATGGCTTTTGGGAAGGCATTCTTCGTTATCAATATACAACAAAGTTTTGATATATAATCAAATATTTAAGCCTGTCTGGGCTTACGGTATTCAATTATGGGGCAGCGCTGCGCATATTCAATCTATTCAAAGATTTAAAAATAGTGTATTACGGGACTTTGTAAACGTCCCCTGGTGTGTCCGTAATGCCGATATACACAGGAATATCACGATCCTAAGTGTCACAGACGAAATTAAAAAGCAAGCGGCCAATCATAAAATTTGTTTATCCAATCGTGTCAACATCGAGGCGGCTCTATTGGTTGACAATCAAAACTTTGTTAGGAGACTTAAACGTACGAGATCTCTTCGAGCTAGTTTAATAGTTTTTATCTGGAACAATAAGTACTTAGTACGCTGTTATGTCAGATAAAAAACTGGTAAGGAATTAAAAAAGCTGGAAAAATGAATGGTTAGTCGTTTCCGGCTAGTTTAATAATTTATTTTGAGGAGGGTGTTTTTTAGTGGATTAAAGTTCCACACTACTGCTTTTCCTCTGACAGTGTCTTTAGAGATTTTTCACCCTTCCTCTCGATAAAAAAATAAATTTCTCTTTATATTCGCAAAAATGTAAAATCGGCATGCAATACGGTTCAGTTCTCTAACATATCCCAAAAGTTGATCAATCTTTGCCATAGTCAAAATGAACTCACACATAAAATTTAATGAAAATCTGTTCAACCGAACTTAAGATAATCGCGTGAACACATAGACAGACAGGCCGACAGGTTGCTAAAAATAGTTTATTTATACTTCCTTACTATGTAGAAGTGCGTGTACCGAAAGCTCGATATGCAAATTTGTTGCCATTATAAAAATTGTAAAAATTGAAAAGAAAAAATTGAAAATAATAAAAGTGTAAATAGTTTTGAAGCGTCTTACATATATTATGTTAATAAATAGAATAATTTATACCACCTTTTCCAAATTTCTTGAAACCGTAGATGAGAAATCAGTTAAGGAATGAATGTTTTAAAACTAAAATTCTTGAATTTAAATTTAGATTTTTTCTATCAAATTCTTAAAACAATGAGTTAAGATATTAATAAAATATGTAAATCGCCTTTTGCAAATAAGATGTGTAGTTAAATAGAATCAATTCACTAAGTAATAGATATAGCGTGTGAACAAATATTATTGACAATATCAAGTAATACACTTAGTAAAACATAATAAATAAACAAATTACTGGCGCTGTTTGAACAGATGAAAACTCATTTTTTATAGCTGAGATAAAATTTTTCGCTTAGAAAAAAATGTGAATAAAGGAAAATTTTGAAAACAAATTGTTGGTATCCTATTGAAATAATATGAACATTTAAAGAATCAAATTGTGTAACATTAAACAGTTATCTTTAAAACAAATTACTGTAAGCTTTAGGTCAACATTATTCCATGCAAAATCTTGATTCTTAAATAAATTTTATACAGATTTACAGCAGAAGTCGAACTGTTTTTCATACTCGTATAATCAAAGCCTGATTACTAATTATTTTAAATATATTAAACCTTGAACATGAAAATTAAATATTAAAGTGAAAGAAATTTCTGTTAAACAAACTTTTTGTTGATATTATTTAAATATAGTTAATTAACAAATTAAATAGAATCTTAACATCTTAATTTAAATTAAAACAAATGAACAAACACTTTTAGTGTAAATAATTTGTAGACATCTTAGTTATAACATAGTTATAATTTTCACAAATGAGTAGCAGTTCTTCTGTTCTTAGCAATTTCAAACTTCTTTTTAGTAATTTGAACATTTCTTATGAAAAATTTATATTTTCGTTGATTCATTTTTAGTTCAAAACCATTTAAATATAAAATAAACGTCTATCTATGTATAACGTCTAAGTATATCTATGTATAACGTACATATGTGATTGGCAATAAGTCCTCAGATTTATCTATTTTTCGAAACTCTAATTTTTATATAATTATACCCTGCACCTTCGCAAAGGGTTTATTGACTTTGTAATGGAGTTTGAACATGTAACGTATATATATTCTTGCGCAGCGCAAAATTCTGCGTTGATTTAGACATGTCCGTCCGTCCGTCTGATCGCACGATAACTAAAAATCAAATAGTGCAATCGAAACCAAACTTCCACAAGTTGTTTCTTTTATACCAAGGACGGACACTATTGTAATTTGAGCAATTCGGCCAACGCGTTCGGATAGCTGTCATACAATTCAAAGAGTTTATTTTAAATTTTTAAAAACTAATAAAGATATAAATATGAATTTTTGTACACGTGTGTCTAATTACATTTTAAAGTGCGCTAAAAATTGTAATAAATAGCTGCACTGTTTGGGTAGCTGCCGTACAACTCCAAAAGATAATTTTAAATATATGGAAAAATAATAAAGTTACATTCATGAAACTGGGAAGTCTTGTGTCTAACTATAGGTTAGATATAAATTCCTGAAGTTTTTGTGGAATTACTTGACAGTTCGGGTAGCTAACGCATACAACTCCAAAAGCTAATTTTAAGTGTTCGAAAAAATAAAAAAGCCAGATTCATGAAACTTGGAAGTCCTGCGTCCAATTATAGGTCAGACTTATCCGTGAAGTTTCTATAGAATGATTTCGCAGGTTCGAGTTGCTGCTATACAACAATGTAAAGTGTAGGGTATAGGTAACTATACAACAATGTGACTGAAACGTTTTAACTTGTTTTAATCAGTTTCGGCACCGAAACAAATGTGCGAGTACTCCAAGGTCATAAAGGAATTGATTGTCAAAACAAATAAGAAATGATTTTGAAAGAGTAAGAGGTTCAACTAAGTTTGTTATTAAAACAAAACATACATTAAGGCGATGAGCAAGAGTACATAATACTGTACCATTCTAACACTGCAACGTTCACTATCACTAAAATATTTCCATTTTGTAAAAATTTTTACCGACCGCATTGCATACAATAAGAGAGGTTGTTTGATGGCAACAAATTTTACATACCAAGTTTTCGGTGGGAACGCACTTCTCCAAAGTAGGGAAGCGTAAATAAACTATTTTTAGAGATGTTTCGGTCTGTCAATCTGTCTGTCTGTGTGTGTATACCTGTATCTCAAGTTCGGTCGAACAGATTTATATAAATCTTATATGTGAGTTTGTTTTGACTATGTCACAGATTGATCAACTTTCGGTAGCTAGACTTTTTTGCTGGCCAATTTTAGATTTTTGCACATATAAAGAGGAATAATCAACCCCTTCCCTTGAAATTTAATATTGAAATTTTGAGTATTAAAACAATGAAGATATAAATTTTTTGGAAGAATCAAGGCTAGGAAACCAAGCTGGGGGCCAATTTTACATTTTTAATCATATCTACGTACCTACGATTTTTGCTTAATTTTAAGTTCACTGAATTTTTATAATTGAAATAATAAACTTTTATATGAAATGAAAATAAATGAGTTTACTAAAATAAAAAAACCTAAATAATTTTGAACACAAATTTTCAATTTTCATTTAGTGTTCAAAATTAAAAAACTTTTCAAAATAATTTATTAGTTTGATGCTCTTTCGAAATTTTGATAAATATAAACTTTACATTCAAGACAATTAATGCATTTCGTAAATACAATATTATAAAATAACAGCAATAACTTCTTTCCAAAAAATTACAATACTTATTAAAAATTTCCCCAGAATTATGAAATATCTAATACATTATTGATGAAATCAAATTTTCGAAGTATTTGCACAATTGGTAAAATATTTATGTTTACCAATATTTACTTTTAAGTTATTCTATATAAAAACTTTTCGTACAAGTTAAAGTTCAGTTTTAAACTCTACTCACTACAATATATTACTAATCAAATAAATGATTAAAATGAAGTTAACATATTTAATATTTGCAATATTTTGCTTTGGGCAGGTATGTAGACTTTAATAAAAATAATAAAAAAACTTATCGCCCTACATGTAATTCTAAATATTTTTTTATAAGACGCAAAAAAACATCATCTTAAAAAAAACCATGCAATATAGTGTTTATTTTCATATCCAAGGCAATTGCATGATTGCATATAATAATCGCTTTTCGTTAAAAACTCTATTTTACATGCCGACTTTTTAATGAAACGAAAATATTTTAATGGAAGTTCATATCCGAATTCAGATTTTACTTTGGCACATGACAGATTTTTGATCATTTTCAAAAACAAATTAAAGAAATTTTTTTTAGACTGACCGTCTTGCTTTTCAAGAAGTTCAGGTACCAATAGCTAAACTTTTGCTGCTCCCAATTTTACATTTCCCTATACATATATTGATATATAATCAACCGAGATCCTTGAAATTTAATACTTTAATAATGATAGTTAAAAAATTAACGCCCCAATTTTTTGGTATATCAGAGTTATAATTGCAATTTTGTTTTCCAACGAAACTAACTGAAAAGCTTTCCAGAAAATCGGATCTCAGAATGGAACTTTTTTCTAGAATTTAAATTTACGGTTTTCCAACTGTAACTGCTGAGAGCCTCAAAATTTAAATTAGAAGTTTAGAGGACATTTCCATAACCTTGGGTAACATTAACACTAATAATTTAAATAATGTAAACAAATTCATTAGATCTTGTGTTATTGAGAAAACACAGTAGTGGCCGAATATCTTTACGATATTTTTTGGTATTTTTTTTATATATAAGGAATTCTATTAACAAACTAATTAATTCAAAAATTTAAAAACGTATTGTACGGTCTTTCTGCAGACGTGCTTTTGCATGTACTGTATGACTAATTGCTTCATAATATGAGCACAAGCAAACTGAAATTCGGTTTAAAAATACATATTTATATATAAAATTAGAAACAAACTTTAATTTTAAATTATGTAATAACAACTCAGAAAATATTCAGATTATCTCAGATTATTGTGACTAATTGTTTTTGCCAATAGCATTGCATACAATAAGTGAGGTTATGTGGTGGCAACGAATTTTCTCCATAGTAGAGAAGCGTAAATTAACAATTTTTAGCGAGGTCTCGCTCTGTCAGTCTGTATCTCAAGTTCGGCTTAACGGATTTTCATAAAATTTTATATGTGAGTTTGTTTTAACTACGTCACGGATCAGGTCATGGGAACTAGACTTTTTTGTAGGCCAATTTTAGATTTTTGCTCATATAAAAAGAAATAATCTACTTTCCAATTTTCTTAAAATTTAATATTTAAATTTGGAGTGTTAAAATAATGAACATATAAATTTCTTGGAAAGATCGGAGTTCGGAAACCAAATTGCGGGCCTATTTTACATTTCTTACGATATATACGGAAAAGATTGTTGGATTTTCTTGAAATATTACATTTGAGTTCTAGTTGTTACCGAAACTAATTGGCGAACTTTTCAGGAAATTCGGATGGCGCAAAACAAAACTCTACTAAGGCCAAATTTACAGTTTTCTAGGTGTGTTAACTAAAAGCTTAGAAGCGCCCGAAAAACTGGAAAGAAGTGCTTAAAAGTGATTTTTATAATCTTCCGTAACATTTTGACTTAACTAGGCAATACACACTGTTGTCGGTTATGTGCTGATCATATCATATTTTTTTTAATTTATATTGTCAAAATATCTGAAAGAAACATATTCAATGAAACAATTATTGATATTTTAACATTAAATATCTACTATTTGTCAACTGTCATCATGTTACTTCAACTTTTCAAGTTAATTCGATGTTTTAATTTATAAAATAGTTCTAAAATTTATTAAATAGCAATTAACGACTGAAAAAGGGCTAAGCACCCTTTAGAATTAAAAATACATATATGAAGCCTCTACTACAACAATTTTTTTTAAAGATGCATTTACTGGAGAACTAAATTTGTGAGTCATTAATTTGCAAAAAATATTATCCCTTAACTCGTCCACAAGCGGTTTTTATTACTATAAAAATGTGTCATCTATAATATAATATTTGAAAAATATCAGACTAAATTGTAACTTTTAAATTACTTTTCTTCGTTTCTCTGCAGACCTTAATTGTAAAATCTGAAGTAAATTTGATAGATGGAGCAAAAATTTACAACCCTGACGCTAAACTTTCACAAAAAGATGTACAAGCAATACCTGCCTACATCGGTTTGAAATTAAAAACTGCATTAAGCGATGCTCAAACGAAGTTTTTTGCAAGTTTTGAAGAACCAATTAATGATTTAGCTGAATTTATATGTGAATTGGAAGTATCATTTGATATTTTCAACACAACTAAGAGTAAGTTAAATTATTCAAATTTATTTCAAAATTTGTGCATATTCTTATACTTATAAAACTTTTTAGCGACGGATGTGGTTAAAGATGTCATAAAAAAATTTAAATCTGCTAGTATCATAAATGTATGCAGTAGCAAGTCAATTATAAAAACTATTACAGAGTTTGCAAATGAAAAAATATGTGAAGAACCATCTTTACTGGAAATTGCTTCGAAAGCTTTGGATCAGCTTGATGAATACATAGATAAATTAACAACATATCACAATGGAGCATTCAACCTCTTTTATCATAAACAGTCTGATGAAATCACTTTATTGCAGGCCATCACGGAACAACAGTTTACAAATTTTAAGGGTAGTTCAAACGAAAAGCAACAAATAGCCAATTCACTTAGTAGTTTGCGAGATAATGTCTTGAATTTTATAATTCAAAAGAAAGCAGCAATTAAAGGAAATTCTGATTCTACTAACTATTACCAAAACAGTTTAAGTCTCATTGACAACCTCATCCAGAGTATTAGCGGATTTTCAACTAAAGGCGCTTTTCAAGATAAACGCTTTGTTAATGACCTTATTAAGCTTTTAAGTAAAGTCAAAACTTCACTAATTGAAATTAGTAAAGCTGCTGATTTTGTCCATAATTCTCTGTCTGACACGTTTGGACAAATTGTATTCGATTTTGGAAAAGATTTACAAGATTGTATTTTAGATAAAATTTCAAATTCGCGATTCACTAATTTCATAGATTTAACAGAGAATGCATTAGGTATTACGTCTTCCGGTATACCAATTACTGATGATGTTCAAACAATTTATAACATAATTAGTAAAATTAAATATTGGGCAGACGAGTTTAATGAAGTGCGAAGTTTACTGTGCGATATAACAGATTATGCTGATAAAATTCAAAATGGAATATGTTCCGTATATAAAGGAGCTAAGAGTTTGTATAACGAAGGAAAATCCAAAGTCATGAACCGAATTAATAAATATGAACATTATTTTAATTGTTTCTTAGAAAATCTCAAACCTTATGATCATCTAAAGCCAGCGTATGATAAATTTTCAAATTCACACGATGGACTCTTGAGTTATGCCAAAGAATCATTTTCTAGTATTGTAGATCATTCAACTGGTTTTTTGACAGATGTGTTAAAGGAATTTAATCCAGAATGCGCAAAAGACATCAATGTACAAACACCGGTTAATGTGCTTTTAAAAGAAATTGAACCATGTCACATACATATCAGTGACAAAGCTTATAGTTTGCCTAACTATTGCGATGAAAAAAATCATGACACGTATAGGGGCTTTTTTGGGTTTTTTGGTTCGAGTAAAGTGAGGTTCTTTGAAGATGATAACCTGACTTATGTTTACTATCATGACGTTATACCATTAACTGATTTGCACTCTGATTTATGGAAAGGTGTGGAAAAGTTCAACGAATGCATTCAAGACAAATTTAAAACTGCTGGAAATAGTTTTTTGAAAATTTTGAAAGACTGCGCTTAATAATCGAAATTGCTTTTAATAAGGTCATCGTCTTCTATTCCCAAATTTTTTTTATTGTTAATAGAATGAATTTAAAATAATTTAATAAAAGGCTATTACATATTCTTCACAATGAAGTAAGGATTTTTATAACGTAGACTAGCTTTAGGGTAAGTGTTAAATAAAGGAAAAGTGGAGCAATGGACCACATAAGTTTTTATGTAGTAGTATTTGTTGAGTTTTTCCTTCCTACGATATGTTGTAGATGTACAAGTATTTCATTCAAATATGTATAAAAAATTTATACATATTAGAAGAAGTAACTCAACTTAGTAATAATAACAGTACTTCTGGACTCAATTTAGGGCAGTATATATAACTTAAACTTATTGCTATAATATATAAATAAGAGATGCGTATTCGAAGAAAAAAGCGTTTCTTAATATTTTTAAACTTGAGTCTCACAAAATCATATGAACTTTTGTGTATACAAACTTATTGCTATAAGAAATATCAAGCAACTTTTTATACCCAGCACTTCGTGAAGTGAACTTTTGTATGGAGTTTGTAACTACTTGAAGGAGTCATCTACGGTATGCACATATATATATATTCTTGTTCAGCGTAAAATTCTGCGTTGATTTAGACATGTCCGCCCGTCTGTCCCATCGCACGATAACTCAAAAGCGAATAATGCAATCGACACCAAACTTTCACAAGTTGTTTCTTTGTGCCAAGGGAAAACCCTATTATAATTAGACTAATTAGGACAACAGTGTCGAGTAGCTGCCATACAACTCAAAGAGTTTATTTTAAATATTTCGAAAACTAATAAATATCAAATTTTGTATTAATATCAAATTTTGTAAAGGTGTATCCAATTACATTCTATATATGCTTTAAAAATTTCAATGAGATAACGGCAGTGGTTCGGATGGCTACCATACAACTCCAAAAGCAAATTTTAAATATTTGGAAAAATAATAAATTCAGATTCATGAAACTTGGCAATCGTGTGTCCAATTATAGGTCAAATCTTAGTTAGTCTTGAGGTTTTGGTTGAATTGCTTGTCTGATTCGGATAGGTGCCATAGAAGTCCAAAAGCTAATTTTAAATATTTGGAAAAATAATATAGTGAGATTAATGAAACTTTGCAGTCGTACATCCAATTATGGGTCAGACGTATCCGAGAAGTTTCTATAAAATGATTTCACAGGTTCGAGTAAATCCTACACCACGATGAAAGGTGCAAGGTATAATTCAATCGGTTGATACCGACTAAAACACTTTTATTTGTTTAGATATAACTCGACAGAAAATAAATTTTGTTACCGAGTTTAAAATCACTAGAGTTTTTATATTTTCATAACATTTGCTTAATATTTTTTGAAAGTTTGAGAAAAATTTTAAATATAAAAGAAGTTTCTCTTATTGATTCGGTTGGATGTGAAAACTAGCAGGTATCTAAAAAACAATAAGAAAACCTTTCTTTCTTTTTACTCTATGCAATATTGGCTGCTCAACAAAATCCTGTTAATGGATAGTTGATATTTAGCTTTAGAGCAAACAATTTGTATCATCTTGCTACGGTTATATATGTATAGTTTACAATTTGGAATTTTAAATAAATTAACTTTTTAATATATTTTAAATTCTGAAATTTCAAATTTTTAAAAATGAGTTGGACTGTCAAAAAATTTTCCTACGTCTATTATATTATATACAAGTTAACGTTGCCCATTATTTCAGACGTTAACCTATCATCTTTCACCAAAAAAAAATCATTTAAAAATTGCGAAATCATCAACACAGCATTTTTCAGTATTAACTACCTTAAAAATTGGTTCACATAAAAATTGCGCCTATAACAATTATGCTTATAATCCAAGTAGAGCGATCGGTAATTAAAATTAAAATTTTATAAAATTATTCATTAGTATTTTGCACTGACAAATGAAAAGTAATAAAAAATTTTTTTGTTAAAAGAAATTGAAATATCGTCTTTTATTAAAGTAAAGTAAAATAATCTTTCTTGCAATATAAAGTAATTAAGGTAAAGGACAGAACCCAGATTGACGCCATAGAACATTAATTGGCGTCCGAGTCCAGGGACACCTGTGAAAATTGGAAACTAAATTAAAAGTTTAAAATATTAAATGAAAATTAGAAACTGAGTGAAAATTTAAAAAAAATAGAATTGAGGAAAAAAATTAAATTGAAGTTACTTTAAAATTTAAGAAAAAAAAACCCAACATAAATTTTTTAAAAAAAGTTTTTGAAATAAAATGCAACCATTTTAAAGACATTAAAAATTTTTTTTGGAATTAAAATAAAACTACATAAAGTTACTTGTGGAAAAGTTAACAGTCCTTCAAAATTTGGAACTACATAAAGGGAAATAAATAAATTTGTTTTTACTAGCGTTTTCATCAGAGTACTAAGGAAACTCCTTCTTGCACAACGTGCAGCAAGCAGGCAAAGGCCGAAATTACTGCAACAATAGAGTGAGAAAAGGTGCCCCGAAGTAGTCTACAAGACAAAACGAAGTTACTGCACGGAAAGCTAAAAACACTGCAAAAGACTTCTCAGCTTAAAGTTCACTTGAGTCTGAGTAAACGGTGTCAAAAGCTCTCTACAAAGTGTAGCTAACAGCGGCCCACTCGTTGTGGTAAAATACTGTAGATGAAACCCAATGGCGTTCTAACTGGTTTTTGTCATGTAAGTCAATTATTTCACCTTTATTAACAGCTACTTACCTGAAAAAAAAAATTATAAGTTAAATAAAATTAAAATTTTGAAATATAAAAATATTATAAAATAATACAGAGTTAACGTCAATAAGTACCCTCAAGTAAGAGGAGAAAAGGAGACCTGTATTTTAGAACATTTTGATAAAAATTCAGATAAAATAATACTCATAAAGAGAAAATTTTTGTTGCAACTATAAAAAATTAATAAATTCAAAAAGTTTTTGAAAAAGAAAAGAAAATAAACATTTTTTATAAAATAATAAGAATTTTTATAGCGGATCCTATTCGCGTCAAAAAGTATCCCCATCAGTAGGAAGAAAAGAAAAAACATAATTTAAAAAACGAACACATTAATAATTTTTGAATCACGTGAAATTGAAGATCTAAAGTTAAACCAATCGCTGATCAGCCGTAGAAAAATAGTAGAAATAATAACAGAAATAACAGTAGAATATGGAATTTCGATAACTTTCTTCCTTACACGATCTATCCTACTAATCGTAATATAGAAATTTAGTGCTAAATCTAAGTAGTAATAGAATCTTACTATCTATTCTATTAATTTTAAAATAGACGAGAAAAAATAGAGTTGACCTTGTCAACTCTATGACACCCGCACGAATTTGTTATTCTATGTGCGAATAAAGATACCATAGCTGAATATAGGACAGACTATGACTTCAAGTTGCCGAATTACCATATTAACTTATGCAAAATATCAGTACTGTATCTTCAATATTTTCTAAGATATGGCCAAACTACTATTGAAGTTTTATAGGTGCTACCAGGAAGAGCCAAGCAATTTCAAAAACTTTTACCAAACATATTGGCCCTACTAAAATATTTACTTGTATGAACTTTCAATATCATAACTTTTATAGTTTCTGAGATAAAGCCAAATAGCATTTGAAGTTGTATGGCAGGTACCAGAAGCAGCCAAGTAATTTCAACGACTTTTATCAGACACATTGGCCCTACTAATATATTCGCTTGTGTGAAATTTCAATACCACAACTTTTATAGTTTCTGAGATATAGCCCAATAAATTTTGAAGTCGTATGGCAGCTACCCAAACCAGTAACCCGATCATGTCCAATTTAAATAGGGTTCTGGCACTTACTACAATAAATCGTTATTATTCGGGTAGCACAAAGCTAAATTCTACTAAGAGCCATATTTACATTTTTCTAAGTATGTTAACTATAAGCTTATTAATGTCCTAAAAATTGGAAAGAAGTATTTAACAGACATTTTTATTATATTCTGAACCATTTTCACTTAACTAGACAATACACATTGCGGTCGGTTATGTGCTGACCACATCAGATTTTTTTCTTTGTTTGCTGATTTGAACAGAATTCGCTTTTGTCAATAATTGGAATAAATTCTGAATGTCTCAACTATAAAGTTTAAACAAATGGAAAAACTTTTTAAAAAACTTTTAAAAATTTTTCAATATTTGATTTCTACATATGCCAATTTTTTTCGTTGATTTTTGAATTAAAGCGCAAAAGCTCTTTTGACTGTCGAAATTTATTTTTGTTTGAACTATTGATTCTCTATAAACAGCTTAAAAAAAGTGCTGAAAATTGCTTGAGCTATTTTGCTCGAAATTTCTTTATTTTATTATTCTAATTTTTATTGGTATTTTGCAAAGTAGTATTTATATCAAAAAAAAAATTGTTATAAGGGTATTATGTTAGACAAAATATGCGAAATGCGCAAATAAGGTATAATGTCATAGTTAATACTACAGCGTGAATAACGTAAAAATATGATTCTTATGAAAAAATTGTCACCATTTAGTAAAGTGCATTTGAGGTGAGCAGTTTTCATATAATTTCAAAAATACTAAAGATGCGAAAAAGTACAAAATCTGGCGTAAATATTCGACATATATTTGTCGACTATAAAATATGTAGAATTCGCGCGTAGAAACGTAAAGAGCTTTTAATATGTTTTTAAATTTTTAAACACTACAGAAATGTAATACACAACACAAAACAATAAATCCATAACATATGTTTAAATACTACTTGTGCTTTAAAAAGTATTTGCACTTATTTTAAATCTAATTTTTGAAATATTTGAACAATTGGGAAAGTAATTATATCAACGATTTAGCTAACTTTTTTTTTGCAATATAAATAGCTTCTAAGTCAATAATCAATTATTTATTTTCAAAATGATATAAGTATATAAGAAGACTTTCTAAAAATTAAAGCCCAGTTGCCAAAATTATTTTCTATAGCAATATAGTATTGGGTTTAAAATAGTGTTAACCAGTTTTATAATGAAGTTTATATTATTATTATTCCTAATGTTTTTCTTAAATCAGGTACTTTCTGTGTTCAAAAACTTTCAGAATAAATGAAAAAATTAGAATGTGTGTTCCTAATAGATACATTTAGTTGCCAACATATTAAAACTATTATAAATATTATAATTTTTATAATCTTTATAATATTCAAAACTCCAAATAAGGAAAAATCAAAGAGCAAAAATACAGAACAAAAGAATAGTTTTCTATTTAATTACAATAATTCTATAAGTGACAGAATTAAAAATTAAGGTTCGAATTTTTCTAGGAAAAAAATTGTTGTGGATAATTAATTTAAAACAAAAAGGAATATTTTTATCTATATGTATTTTTATCTGTAGTCCAAGTTTTAAAGGTACCTTAATTTTAGATTTTTTTCAAAATAATAATTTATCCTTATTTTTACTTGATCTTTATGTAAAAGAAATATTGACGTTATTCTAAAATACTATTTAAAATTTTTGATTTAAAACTTTTATTGTTTTCGTCTTAAAATTGAAATACCTCTTGGTGTGTCCAGTAACTTATAGTCGATTTTAAGCTTAATCCCAGATTATCTAGAGTTCTGAAACTTTTTTGAATATGTCAATAAATGAAAAACTTATTTTCTTCAATTTTTAAAGTATATACATATTGTAACACTTTTTAATATGTTCTCCAGTAGATATATACATTTGACTCTCAACATTGATTAGAATATTTATTTCAAATTCTTATTTTAATATTTTTTTCTTTCCCATATCTTTTGTACAATTTTTTTTTTGCGTTAGGCTCTGGTAAAGTCTGAAGTAAGCTTAAATGATGCCGCAAAAAAATACAATCAAGATGCTAAACTTTCACAAAAAGATGTACAAGCAATACCTGCCTACATCGGTTTGAAATTAAAAACTGCATTAAGCGATGCTCAAACGAAGTTTTTTGCAAGTTTTGAAGAACCAATTAATGATTTAGCTGAATTTATATGTGAATTGGAAGTATCATTTGATATTTTCAACACAACTAAGAGTAAGTTAAATTATTCAAATTTATTTCAAAATTTGTGCATATTCTTATACTTATAAAACTTTTTAGCGACGGATGTGGTTAAAGATGTCATAAAAAAATTTAAATCTGCTAGTATCATAAATGTATGCAGTAGCAAGTCAATTATAAAAACTATTACAGAGTTTGCAAATGAAAAAATATGTGAAGAACCATCTTTACTGGAAATTGCTTCGAAAGCTTTGGATCAGCTTGATGAATACATAGATAAATTGACAACATATCACAATGGAGCATTCAACCTCTTTTATCATAAACAGTCTGATGAAATCACTTTATTGCAGGCCATCACGGAACAACAGTTTATAAATTTTAAGGGTAGTTCAAACGAAAAGCAACAAATAGCCAATTCACTTAGTAGTTTGCGAGATAATGTCTTGAATTTTATAATTCAAAAGAAAGCAGCAATTAAAGGAAATTCTGATTCCACTATCTACTACCAAAACAGTTTAAATCTCATTGACAATCTCATCCAGAGTATTAGCGGATTTTCAACTAAAGGCGCTTTTCAAGATAAACGCTTTGTTAATGACCTTATTAAGCTTCTAAATAAAATCAAAACTTCACTAATTGAAATTAGTAAAGCTGCTGACTTTGTCCATAATTCTCTGTCTGACACGTTTGGACAAATTGTATTCGATTTTGGAAAAGATTTACAAGATTGTATTTTAGATAAAATTTCAAATTCGCGATTCACTAATTTCATAGATTTAACAGAGAATGCATTAGGTATTACGTCTTCCGGTATACCAATTACTGATGATGTTCAAACAATTTATAACATAATTAGTAAAATTAAATATTGGGCAGACGAGTTTAATGAAGTGCGAAGTTTACTGTGCGATATAACAGATTATGCTGATAAAATTCAAAATGGAATATGTTCCGTATACAAGGGAGCTAAGAGTTTGTATAACGAAGGAAAATCCAAAGTTATGAACCGAATTAATAAATATGAACATTATTTTGATTGTTTCTTAGAAAATATCAAACCTTATGATCATTTAAAATCTGTTCACGAGAAACTTTCAAAATCACACGATGGTCTATTAAGTTATGCCAAAAATTCATTCTCTACGATTGTTGATAAATCTACTGGGTTTATTTCAGATGTCTTAAATGAGTTTGACCCCGAATGTGCAAAAGATGTTAAGATAGAACAAACTGTAGATATTATTCTGAAGACTCTTGAGCCTTGTCAAAATTTAATCAGCGATGAGGCTTATCGTTTAGATGACTACTGTGATGAAAAAAATCATGAAACACACAGAGCATTCTCAAGTGCTTTTGGCTCAAATCAAGTCATATTTTTCGGAGATGACAACTTGAAATACACTTACTATTATAGTGTTGTACCACTAACAGATCTGCATACTGAACTGTGGAAAGGTGTTGAAAAATTTAATGAATGTATTGAAAATAAGTTTAAAGACGCCGGAAAAGGTTTTCTTAACATTTTGAAAGACTGCATTTAAAAGTTTATTATATATGTATAAAGTTTTACATTACAGTTAAGAATTTACTTTAATATACAAATATTTCTCTGGATGCGATATGTCAGCATAAAATTTTATCAAATGAAACATTATTGTTATTCAAATGAAACATTATTGTTAAGAATTAATGCTAAAATCCTTAGCATTTAATTCTTAAATGTATTATTCATTTTGCAAAAATGGTAAATAAATTAAATCTAATAACTTAATAAACATGGTCTCAAAGGCGCAAATTTGTTTTAATTCATAGAAATCTTTATTATTTTGCTCTATAATTGCTTTATATTACCTAATGCCTAGTTCAATCGGAAATTGCACATTTATATGAATGTATACATAATTTCCAGTGCAAATAGAGTTGAAGTATATTTCTGAGACATCTGAGTATCATTTCAATAAAAATTCTCAAATATTAACGCCCTTTATTTGGCTTACGCAAACAAAAATTTAAATCAACAAAATAAAGCAAAACGAAGTTCTTATGGTAGGATTATTTTTTGATGGCGTTATTTAAAAAAACGTGTTACTGCTATTTTTCTCTACATCATTATTGCCATCTACATTATTATTGTCTCTATCACCCAAATGCTATTACTATTGTCTCTACATCATTAAAATGGCATTTATTAAAAGCATTAAATACATATTATAATGCGTAAAATAAAAAAAAAAATAAAAAAAATCTAATGTGGTTACCACATAACCGACGGCAATGTGTATTTTCTAGTTAAGTAAAAGTAATACAGAATATTATACAAATGTCTGTTAAATACTTCTTTCTTGTAGGACATTAGTGAGCTTATAGTTAACATACCTAGAAAAATGTAAATTTTACTTTTAGTAGAGTATCGCTCAAATATCAAATTTCAAGAAATTCCATCAGTCCCTTCCTATATGGTGAAAAATGTAAAATCGGCCCGCAGATCAGTTTTCGACCCCTGATCTTTCCATATAATGTATATATAATTATTTAAATACGAAGAATTGAAATATTAAATTTCAATAAAATCGGTTAATCAACCGATTTTTTCTTTTTATACGCAAAAGTGTATATCTGGCCCATAGTAAACGTAAATTTGCTGACGCTTGATTTCTTCCAAGAGGTTAGGAGGCTTCGAGGGCGGGCGAGTGAAGCTTATATATGAAATTTCAAGTAAATCGATTGAATATTTTCTTCAAAATGGTGAAAAACGTCAAGCAGGTCCGCTAAAGAGTGTACTTCCCGAGGCCTTATATATTCCAAAAGTTGATCAATCCGTGCCATGGTCGAAATAAACTTGCATATAAAATTACATCAAAATCGGTTCAGCCAAACTTGAGATACACGCGTGCACACACAGACCGACAGACCGACAGGTTGCTAAAAGTAGTTTATTTACACTTCCCTACCAAAAAGAAGTGCATTCCCACCGAAAACTCATAACCTACCTATTGTTTACACAACATACGCTAATCTAACATCAATATTATAAAATTGTTTACATGTTCAGCTATTATTCAATTCTATTTCTATATGTGAATATTGGCTTTATAGATATATTTTTGAACTAGAATTATTTTGAAATAATTTGAATTATTTAGATAACTAAGAGCACTCGTTGGAGTTGTGGTGTTCATCCATAAAACAAATTTGCATGAAACTTTGTCGACGTATAGTGATAATTGCAGCAGCATTTATATGTTAAAAATATGATTCATTAAAATTTAATCAAGTAAATAGACCAGGAACAAATGCATGTCTTGATCATAGTCACCGGAACTTGTCATTATGAATATTTTTATTTTATTTTATATTATTTTAACTCCTTAAATTGCCAATTTTTGTTTTTAATACTATTTCACAGAGATACAAAAAATTAAGTTCTTTACATACTAAATTCTTTATAGTTTTATGAAAACTATAATTTTGTTGAAGGAATTATAGTTTTAATGAAAAAGCAGAAACAAAAAAGTATATTTGAATTTCAGTCGTATATAAACAATACTTAAAACTTGTTGTCAAGAATTGTCGTACAAGCTATGACTAATTTAGTATTAACAATAAGTCTGTAAAGTGCGTTTTAACAAATCATGACATAACGGCGACCATACAAAATACGTTTTAATAATAAAAGTTTGTTCTCTGTAGAGAGCTTGGATTTCCTGTCGATAAAAGCATATAAATGATAGCCGATATAAGATCATTGAAAGTTAAAAATGACCCACTTTGTCTCTTCGCCATTAAGCTTCAACGTAATAAATGGCAGAAAAAGGTCTTTCTTTTTTTTTTTGAAAAAGTGGAATTAGTTTTTTGAAGTACATATTTATTTTAATTTTCCACTAAGTAAAAAAGTTATACAAAGAATATTGAATGCACCCTGTAAATTATTTAAAATTTGATTACAATTCTTGTCTGCATTGTAACTTACAATACCATTGGTGAAAATTGATAATATGGCATTTTAAATAAATGTTTTAAAGTAAACCATGCCATGGAACCATAGTAATTAGTTGGTTTTGAATAAGCCCACCAACCTTTTATCTTGCAAATAAGTTTTGACATATTTTTTAATATTCAGGAAAGGATGTAATATATTTTATTCCTCCCTGAATCCAAACTGTTCATTAGGTAAAAATTTTGTTCAAATTTTCTATACATACTAAATCGTAATTTTTATCACACAATAGTAGTAACGTAATTACCGACCGTATTGTGTAAACAATAGGTAGGTTATGTGGGCAACAAATTTTGCATATCGAGTTTTCGGTGGGAACGTACTTCTCCATAGTAGGGAAGTGTAAATAAACTATTTTTAGCAACCTGTCGGAATGTCGGTCTGTCGGTCTGTGTGTGTACGCGTGTATCTCAAGTTCGGCTGAACCGATTTTGATGAAACTTTATATGTAAGTTTATTTCCACCATGGTACGTATTGATCAACTTTTGGTATATATCAGGCCTCGGGAACTGCACTTTTTAGCGGGTCGGTTTTACATTTTTGAACATTTTGAAGAAAATATTCAACCGATTTACTTGAAATTTTATATATAAGATCAGCTCAACCGTCCGCGAAAATTCCTAACTTTTGAAACAAATCAGGCATCAGCAACTGGGCGTTTACTACGGGCCAAATATACATTTTTGTGTATATAAAGAGAAATAATCAACCGATTTCATTGAAATTTAATATTTGAATTCCTCGTATCAAAACCATGAACATATAAATTTTTTGGAAAGATCAGGGCTCGAAAATTGATTTTACATTTTTCACCATATCTACGGAACGAATTGATGGAATTTCTTGAATTTTGATATTTGAGTTCTGGTTGCTACCGAAACTAACTGGCGAGCATTTCAGGGAATTCGGGTAGCACAAAGTGAAACCCTACTAAGAGCCAAATTTACATTTTTCTAGGTATGTTAACTATAAGCTTACTAATGTCCTAAAAATTGGAAAGAAGTATTTAACAGACATTTTTATAATATTTGTAACACTTTCATTTAGACTAGCCAATACACAATGCGGTCGGTTATGTGCTGACCACATCAGATTTTTTTTTAATAAAAGATTAACTCAGAATGAAAAAAAAATATTGTAAAAATTTTAGATTATTTTTTCTTTATGTATTTTTTAAGTGTTTTAGTTAATTAGCACTTTTTCAAAAAAATTTTGAAAAAAAGTGCTTATTAGTTTCACTCTGTCCGTCCGTCCGTCCATCCGTCAGTCCGTCCGCCCGTCCGTCCGTCTGTCAGTGTGCCTGTTTGCAAAACTTCTACACCTTTGAAGATAGAAACCTGAAATTATTTGTACATGGACCTTTACTAAAAACCAATTTTCGTAGAACATACTTTTTATATATCCCCCGCCCTCTAAAAGTTATACTCCCCTAAAGCCTTAAAAATGGATTTTTTTAATTCTTTATTGCTTTTCCAAAAAAAATTTGAAAAAAAGTGCTTACTAGTTTCATTCTGTCCGTCCGTCTGTCCGTATGTCTGTTTACAAAACTTCTACACCCTTGAAGATAGAAACCATAAGCATTTATGAAATTTTGCAAACGCAGAAAGGCAGCGGCGTGCTTCCCCTAGCGCAGTATACTATAGTTTAACTTTATAAAAACAAAATGGCCGTTCAAATTTACCGTTATCTAAACTCTTTTTTTTTCTAAATTATTGATGTCGTTTTTCTTGTAGACCCCAGCCTGTAGAAGCTTGAAATTTTAGGGACTTTTAGACATTAACAAATAGTTCATTTCGTTTGAAGAAAATTTTTTTCCATCTCCACCCCCTCTCCAGTTATCGCCTCTTGAAATTTGTAAAATTTGAATTTTTGACACCTCAAATTTCCGAAACCGCAAGCTTTTTCAAATTTCTATAAACGGTAAATTCCATAGCATTAAAAAATATAATTATTTTTCTTAACTCACACAATTAATCCTTAAAATCGAGCATTATGTTAACCCCACTTTATATTAATTTTTGCTTTATTTCAAAGACTGCATGTATGCGTCATCCTAAATATATGCAATCCTAGAAATAGTTTTGTATATGAATAAAAATAATTTTAATAGTGTGATAGGTATACATACTCGTAGACTGTATTTAAAAGCAGAATTTTCACTTGTTGAAGGGAAAAGTGCTACAATACAAACCATTGGTTTGACCGAACTTTATTAACAATGCAATAAAACATCTAACTTTTAAGAAATTAAGGTGTCAATGAATGTATAACAATGGATAATAGAACCCTATGAAACTAAGGTCATTTATTGAGTATTCTTAACTAGTTTATGTTACCGAGAAATTTTGTTACAATTTTAATTAACTGAAACTATCCGGAGACATAAGGGACATTAAAATATTCTTTTGGAATAGGATTGTTTGTAAGGATAAATGTTTTAAATTAATTTTTAGACAAAATTTAATAAAAAAATTTTATTTTATTGCATTAAACTTTTACAAATAGGGTATTTTCAAAATACATTTATTGGCGGAAACTCGCTGTTATTCATTTGTAAGGGTAAACTTTTTTAATTTCATTTTAAATAAGTACGAAGAAAACAAAAATTATCAAAAAAAAAAAGTCCACCTGACAAAAGCAACAAAACTCATATGTTGTACAAATTTATTACACATTTTTTATACCCGTACGAACGTATGTTCGAAGGGTATACTAAATTTGCCATACCGTTTGTAATGTTCGAAGGGTATACTAAATTTGCCATAC